GGTTGAACGAATGAGAGGGAACTCCCTATGGGGCCACGAAACGTGTGAGGGGTGTGCCGAAATGGGTGCGGTGCCGCCATGCCAACGCAGCCACTGGGGCCCTCGGTGGAGCTCCCTATGGGGCCACGAAACGTGTGAGGGGTGTGCCGAAATGGGTGCGGTACCGCCATGCCAACGTAGCCACTGGGGCCCTCGGTGGAGCTCCCTATGGGGCCACGAAACGTGTGAGGGGTGTGCCGAAATGGGTGCGGTGCCGCCATGCCAACGTAGCCACTGGGGCCCTCGGTGGAGCTCCCTATGGGGCCACGAACGATGGACGTGGGTGTGCCGAAATGGGTGTTGGGGAGGCATGCGAACGCAGCCACTGGGGCCTTTGGTGGAGCTCCCTATGGGCCACGAAACGTGTGAGGGGTGTGCCGAAATGGGTGGTGGGGAGGCATGCGAACCCTGCCACTGGGGCCTTCGGTGGAGCTCCCTATGGGGCCACGAAACGTGTGAGGTGTGTGCCGAAATGGGTGGTGGGGAGGCATGCGAACCCTGCCACTGGGGCCTTCGGTGGAGCTCCCTATGGGGCCACGAAACGTGTGAGGGGTGTGCCGAAATGGGTTTGCTCGACGCATCGCCATGCCAACGCGGCACTGGGTCCCTCGGTGGCGCTCCTATGGGGCCACGAAGCGTACTGTGAGGGGTGTGCCGAAAAGGGCGCGTGCCATGCGTTTTTTTTTTTTTTGGCACAAACGGTGCACTGGGGCCTTCGGTGGAGCTCCCTATGGGGCCACGAAACGTGTGAGGGGTGTGCCGAAATGGGCGCGGCGCCGCCATGCGGACGCAGCCATTGGGGCCCTCGGTGGGGCTCCCTATGGGGCCACGAAACGTGTGAGGGGTGGGCCGACATGGGTGCGGTGCCGCCATGCGGACGCAGCCACTGGGGCCCTCGGTGGAGCTCCCTATGGGGCCACGAAACGTGTGAGGGGTGTGCCGAAATGGGTGCGGTGCCGCCATGCCAACGCAGCCACTGTGGCCCTCGGTGGAGCTCCCTATGGGGCCACGAAACGTGTGAGGGGTGTGCCGAAATGGGTGCGGTGCCGCCATGCCAACGCAGCCACTGGGGCCCTCGGTGGAGCTCCCTATGGGGCCACGAAACGTGTGAGGGGTGTGCCGACATGGGTGCGGTGCCGCCATGCCAACGCGGCCACTGGGGCCCTCGGTGGAGCTCCCTATGGGGCCGCGAAACGTGTGAGGGGTGTGCCGAAAGGGGTGCGGTTGTTTGCCGCCCATTGCAAACGCGCCATGGGGGCCTCGGTGGAGCTCCCTAGGAGGAACGCAACGTACAGCCGTTGTGGAAACTACTGGGGGGACCCTCGGGGGAGTCCTATGGGGGTTCCTATTGGTCCGTGAAGGGAATCTGCGGGTGCGGTGCCGCCATGCCAACGGCAACTCAAACCGTATATCCCAAACCTTCGATACCCGCCCACTTCGTCTTCGATCGTACCCCCCATGGGGTATATCTTTCTTACCTGCAACGTGTATTTCGTGCAGCCTCTACGGCAGGGGAAGAGAAGACGGATGGGAGAAAGGGGCAAGGGGCAGGAGGCTGATGGAGCACGAGAGAGAGAGAGAGAGCAGCAGGAGAGGGGCCAGGAGCAGAAAACACGTGGCAGAACCAGACGGGCAGATGGGGTGGGTAGACCCTAACAGGCGGGTCAGGAATGCGGGCCCAGGCGGCCACGGTTACAACGGTTACAGGGCAGGGGATATCAACAACCATTACTTAAATGAAAAACCAGCAGCAACCACAACAACAGTAGCAGCATCAACAACGTCAACAACAACGACAACAACAGCAGCAGAAATAGCAGCAACAACAACAACAGCAGCAGCAACAACAACAACAGTTCGCTTCTGTCTGCACGCGTGCTGTTCAACACGTATATCCCAAACCCTCGATACCCGCCATCTTCGTCTTCAACCGTACCACCTTCAGAGTAGATCTTCCCTACCTGCAACGTATGTTTCGTGCAGCCCCTGAAGGCAGGGAAAAAGACCGGAGGGAAGGAAGGTACAAGGGGGAGAGAGGAGGATGGAGCACGAGAGAGAATAGCAGGAGGGGGGCTAGGAGCAGAAAACACGTGGCAGAACCAGACGTGCAGATCGGGCGGGTAGGCCCGAACAGGCGGGTCGGGAAGGCGGGCCCAGGAGGCCAGGTCGAGCAGGCGGATTGCTGAAGCGTGCGTCGCGCATGAATCGCAAGTCTCGAACGATAGCGCGATTCCCAAGTAAATCACGAGATAGGCCAAAGCGAAAGCGTGATTCCTGAGTGTCGAGGGCGCGGCACGATTCCTGCATACATTGTGAGGACGTCCCGCGCGAGATCGCGATGTTGAAATACATTGTGAAGAAGTAGCAGGCGGGAGCCGTTGTTGTTGTTGTGGTTGTAACTCGGGGGCCAGGGTCCCAATTCTGAGACCCAAGACTTTCCCTGATAAAGAGGGGTGCGAGC